GCTGAAAGAGAGTCTTTGTAATTGGTGTGGCTTTCCCGTGTAAATACATTTAACCATAGATTGCATATAGCCACCAAGCTTGTTTTATGTATACTCGTTCATAAAGCATTGTCTTCGCCAGGCAAACGTTTTCAATAAATATTATAATTCGCCTGATATGATCTTTACAATTTGTATCTACGATCAGACACTAACTACTCCAAAAAATGTATTTTTTTCGCAAAAAACACAAAAATTGTTGACTTGATTTAACTTCTTATATTTAAAGACGTACCCATTGGAAACCGCTCAATTTAAACATTCCATTTTTTTCATTAGAAAGAACAAAAATGTATTAACGTAATACTCTATGAGGGAAAGCTTTACTATATTTAACCTTTTCTAATTATTTAGATTTGAACATCATAAAATGCGTATTTTTTTTCGTTCAAACCCGCTTGAATCCGAAATATCTCAAAAACAATAAAATATAGAATGTTTCTCGCTTTAATTTTACTTGCTGTTTAACGCTCTATCAAACTAAAAAAAACGCTATTTCACACTTTGAAAGGTTTCTGAATGAAACCAGGCACAAACATGTTTATGGGGCACTTCAATTGAGATTTGTGGGCCTTAAAATGAAAAATCTCGGATTTTCAGATTTGTCCTGTTTGTGTCCTAAAAGCTAACTTTGTACCAAATTTCACCTTTCTGCCTTGTCGGGAAGTACCTTAGAGGTTTTTGAGATATACATACAAAGGTCTTTATTTAATTGGATAAAATAAGAATGCACACTGGACCCTAAATGTAGAGGCTTAAACCAGAGCCTCGATACCTGGTAGCTTCTTAGCAATGAATTCTGACCCTGCATTCAACTCTGAGCTCAGGACTCTGAATCCCGAACACGTGCACTCTGACTACAGCACCGTGATCTATTTGTTTAACTTGAACCAAGGCTTCTCTTCCAAAATAGATGATGAGCGGTGATGGTCTCAGACACAGCTGCTTAAACAGAAGCGCCGCATGGACTGGAATGATGCAGCCGAGCCAGCACAAGCCATTACGAGCCAGGAGGGTGTTACCTGCGTGATGACCGCTCTCCACCTGCCAAACCAAACCTCAACATTGGTTCTCAACCTTATCGAAATAGCGACACTGCGTGTCTACTTGTGTTAATATTACCCTTGGAATGCAGCGCTATGCATGATGATGATAATGGCAACAGCCGTGCCACGTGAGTCTACACGGGGCAGCACCTCCCGTGAGCTGGAGGCCGCCAGGCGCTGGGGCGCCGGCGAGGTGAACGCGATGCTTTTCAGAACGCGGGGTCACGAACTCGCAGAGAGGGTCCGTGCCGAGTGTAAACGTCTGGCAGTTCTCACCAGCACAAGGTTCAAGCGAGCCCGACTGCTGATGATGAGACACTTGAACACCAGTCCAGAGTTTTGCTTGTGTTGAGCGAACTACTTAAGTTGTGCACTCCCCAGAACGACAAATGCATGGCTGATGGGATGTGTAAAACACTTTATTTAAAATGTGTTATGGGAAGGAAGTGGAACTTTGTGCTCATTTAAAATGGGCGCCGCGGTGGCGAGATGTTCACTCCCTCGCCTGGTATACAGAAGGTTGTGGGTTCGATCCTGATCCCGACCCTGACACCTGTATATTTGGAGTTTACATGTCTCTCTCCTCGAAGTCACGTGGATTTTTCTCCAGCTCCTCCGTTTTTTCCCTGCCCATCTAGAAACACGCTGCTGCTATACATCATCCACGTGATGATAAGCCATTTTGTTGTGGCAAGGTCGCTTCTGAAAAATAACTGTGGTTCTTTTAGTCTTATTCTACGTTGGAACAAAGTTTGTCTCGCTGGCTGGCTGGCTGGAGTGAGGGACGAACGCTGACGTGCGGACTGCTTGTAGAAGAGACACGGCGGCTGGGTTGTGGAGCACTCGAACGCCTCTGCCTCTCGAGTGCTCCTCCCCACCCCCACGCGGCCACGCGGGGGCGCCAGCGAGACGGCCGCACGACTCCACAGCGCGCGCTGTTGGCACTTGGCCAGCGGCAGCACCCACACACACAGACAAAGATCCCCCGTATAGCCTTTAACGTACTGCTGGGGCAAGTGCGCACGAAATGCGTGAGTGCTCAGCACCACGCCCGGCCCCCTTTTTTTCCTCACCAGTGATTGATGTTTTACACACCGCACCAGGGACTCATTTAAGACGGAGTCAACCTAGGGGAGGTCCAGGACTGGGTCAAATATTCGTGATTATTTGTCGTGAGCGGGAATCGAACTCGGGTCCCGCAATGCGCTAACCACCGCACCACCGCTCCCACAACACTCACTGGGCTCTCGATCTGACAGATGAAACAAACGCGAAACGAGTCGCTGCTGTTGCTGCTGTGGGTGATGAACGATTACCCCCATGGCAAGGGAGGTTGATGGACACCCCGAGGCGCTCACAGCCGAGTTTTCTTTGCGCCCGATCAATGCCAATCCGTACCCCTCAACCCATGACCCGAATCATGCAGAGAAATGAAGCGGGCCGAGAGGAACAGCGCGTTGATGTTGTCATTCGGTACGCGGTATTTCTATGCCACCTGACACTGGTGCAACACAACGCACAGAGCACGCGGTGTCACGGTGGAGATGCGCCGAGGCGTGGGAAGAAAGTTCGGTTGCTTGCCACGGCAGACGCGAACGGCCATGCTCGAACTGGTCCTCACATGGGCCACTTCTCCTTCACCAACTCGCACTGACCAGCGTGGCGAAGTATGGGCGAGCTAACCTGTATGGCCGACGCTGCATGTGTGGAGATACTTTCATCCAGCATTGGCTTGATCTACTGGACATATGTGAAAAAGAGCATCATAGCTCATGGGATTTATCCAGTCTAAATAAAGGTTCTGATGAAGGCCATAAACATTACTTCTTGTTTAGGAGCACGAGCACTGGAGTGAGATACGCGACTGAAAAACTGGCGGGGGGGTGGGGGGCAGGAAGAGTGGAATTACAGCAGCTCAGTTGCTATCCCCCTAGTCCCCTCGTCCCCTAGCTCAACCCCTAGTCTAATAACCTCTTGTCCCCCTTGTCCCCTAGCCCATAACCCCTTAGTCACCTCGGGGACCCCCTAGTCCCCTAGCCCAATAACTCCCTAGCCCAATAACCTCCTAGCACAATAACCCCCTAGCCCAATAACCCCATAGCCCAAAAAACCCCTAGCCCAATAACCCCCTAGCCCCCTATCCCAATAACCCCCTAGTCCCTTAGCCCAATAACCCCTTAGTCACCTCGGGGACCCCCTAGTCCCCTAGCCCAATAACCCCCTAGTCCCTTAGCCCAATAACCCCTTAGTCACCTCGGGGATCCCCTAGTCCCCTAGCCCAATAACCCCCTAGCACAATAACCTCCCAGCACAATAACCCCCTAGCCCAATAACCCCATAGCCCAAAAAAACCCTAGCCCAATAACCCCCTAGCACAATAACGCCCTCGTTCCCTAGTCCAATAACCCCCTAGTCACCTAGGGGTCCCCCTAGTTCCATAGCTCAATAACCCCCTAGCCCAAAAACCCCCAACCCCCCCCCCCCCCCCCCCGAGGCAGCTGGGTCAATCAAGCCGTACGGAGCCGTGCGATTGAGCGCTGTCTGTGCTTTTGAGATCGCGGAAAGCACAGGAGGCGGTTTCTCCCCACTGTTGTTGCTGTTTCTGCCGCGGTAGGGCCGATGGTGGTGGTGATGATAATGAACGTTGCTGGTGCACAACGCGAACAGGGAGGTGATTCACTTCTCAGGGCAAGGTAAATCAAATGCAGCAGCAGCCGAGTTAAGACAACAAAGCAGAAGCGAGCATCGTCCCCGGCTCCCCCAACGCGACGCCATCCGTGCCTTACATCGGACGCACTTCATGACGATCCATTGGCATGTGAGCGCAAGAGATTTGATTTTCCGCTTCGCTCCTACATCGGGCAGAGTGCCCGAGCGGGTCGAGCAGCCACCGCCGTGCGGTGTGCAGGAGAGGGGCAGGCAGTGCAATCGGCGACGTGCTGGCTGGCACACGTGCTATGGAGACAGGATAAGACTCGAACCGTCGCTAACTATACTTTGTATGTTGTTCTCTTATGAGGCCACGTAGTTATTGACGAATGTGTTGAGGTTGTTTGTGTTGTTGTTTGTGTACCACTGCCAACGCAGCGGCAGCAGTGGTATTCACAAAGGAGCCACATTAAGGCATCGGTGCTCATCTCCCGGTCACAGCCCTGCTGCAGAGGCAGTGGTGGGGCGAGAAATATCCACAGGGCAACCGCTGTTGACCCCCCCCCCCCCAAAGCAGTACCTATTGTATCGATCCCCAAAGTGACACTTTAACGAAAACCGAGCGAAGGGATGATGGGCTGAATCATCCTTCACAACCACGATTTAAACTCGCGACCTCCCGCTCGCTCTATACCGCTGGCTGAGCCGCCACGGGCTGGAGGCTCCGTGGCACCCCCCCCACCCCGAGTGATTGTGAGCCGAGCCGGACCTCGCCCGGGGTGGGCTGTGGCGACAGCTTCCGAGGCACGAGGCGGCGAGACCCCGGCGCGCGGCACCACCACGCCGCGGCTCCACCGAGAAGTCACCACGGGGCTCGCATCCACCCCCCGCCGCGACGTTCCCGTGCCGGGGACGCCTGCTGCAGATACCACGCACGCACGCACGCGTCACACGCACGCGGATGCGCGCAGTTGCTGCTGCTGCTGTTGTTGTAACACCGCGCAGTGCCGGTGTCGAGGCTGGCCGGGTCGCGGCCCCGGAGACGCGGGTGGGATGCAGCGACGGAAAGAGGCCGCCGTGAGTTGGGGACCGAGGTGGAAGGGGAGAGAAGGGGAGGGAGGGAGGGAGGAAAGGAGTGGGGCGGTGGTGGTAGGGGGGATGGGATAGGGGGTACGGGAGGAGCGGGAGACGGGATGCGCGGTGAGAAACGAGCGGTCGGCAGAGGGGGGTAGCGGAGCGAAGCGGGCAGGAGGCTGTGACAGAGGGATGGGTGGAGGGGAGGGTGCGGCTGTTGTCGCTGCTGCGCTAGGAGGGGGGTGCGCGGTATAAATGCGGAGCGCGGAGCGGGCCGCTCACCGCGGCGTGCACTGCGGGCGTGGTGCGGGCCGCTGCCAGCGCGATGATGCTGCTGCTGTAGGTAGGGAGCCTGCCGGGCAGCATTCGCTACACAGCTGCACCGCCGTCTGCTGCTCACATAGCCTGCTGCTGCTCACATAGCCTGCTGCTGCTGCTCTCTAGGAGGCATAGCCGGCACCCACAGCGCAGTGCTGTGTGTGCTCCGTGTACATCCGCGTTGAGTGAATAGCTGAATTGATAACACCGCATTGAATAAATGAATACACGAGTGACTGTATGGTTGAATACAGTGCATGTATTGTATGCGTGAATGGTTGAATTACACTAATGTACGAGTTAATGATTGGATGAATAAATGGCTGATTGGATGCGCTGATGGGGTTCTCTGCATGTATCTGGGCGCAGGTGTGATTACAGCTGCGGTGTGGGTGTTGTCGTGAGCAGCTGAAACACGCAACACCTTGGTCAACAATAACACTTCCTTAAAAATAAAACTCCATAATCTGTGACGTTTGGGGCAATGGCACTTCACAGCACATAGGCCATAGAGGTAGTGTGATCTTTAGAGCATTGTTACCCGAAACGTCGCTTTTTATATACTTTTTAAAGGCAGTTCTATGCTTGCGAATTATGGTAGTAAGGTCAAGGGGCTCGGTGCCTGCTGCTGCTGGCCACGACGAGAGGCTTCAGCGGAGAGAGACTTCGTGTCGTGCCACTCTTCCTCCTCCTCCTCCTCTGTTGAAGGAGCGCAGACCACTGTGCGGGCCGTACTTTGGGTTGCGTGGCCACAATCGCACTTCTGTGGCTTGTCATTCATGTATCTCTATGTATTTCTACGGATCCCTATTGTACCTCTGGGTCTCTATGTATCTCCATGGGTCTCTGTAATCTCTATGGGTCTCTATGGGTTTACTTCACGGCCCATATTTTGGGTTGCGTGGCCACAATCGCACCGCTGCGGTTGCCATCGACCTGGTCGCTGGCGTTGTGATGCGGTTTCCGCAGGAGGTGAGCGGTGCCGAGTGCCCTCCTCCTCCTGCTGCTCCTGCTGCTGCTGCTACACGCGGACAGCAGCAGCAGCAGCGGCGTGTCCTTGGGAAAGCGCTGATGATGTACCACTGTACAGTACGGTTATATAAGCAGACGCGGTCGGGCCATTGATATTGCCACTTCGTTAAGCGATCATCAGCGGTCGCCGTGTGGATGTCCTCGCCACCGGCCGTGCGAATGTGGAATTTGCACCGCTGGCTCCAACGTCGCAACTTTTAATCGATTAAGAGAACTAAAGTGCAATGGCAGGCTTTCACCGTGGTGTTCGGTATAGTGCAGTCTACGTGCATACTGTAGAGTACTGTCGTGGGCGCCTTGCGTGTGAGGAAGGATCGATGATGGCCAAGCGGAGGTCGAGGCCGACGTAGGCGCGTGTCCGCCGAGCGAGGAGACGCTTCGCGGGGGAAACCACGACGGAGATGGAGCGGAAACCGTGGAGGAGGGACGGTGATGACTTAATTGTGGAGGCATTCGTCCAGCAGTGGACAACAGATCACTGAGATTTGATATAAAGAAGCAATGACTTGCGTGGTTCCTGGCAGGAGCCGACTGGCAGGCTGCACGGTCAACCTCACGGCTGGGGAAGTCGCCCCCCCCTACACCCCCTACACCCCCTACCCCCCCCTACCCCCTACCCCCCCGTACCCCCGTGGGGTTCCCGCGGTGTTAGTTGCTGCTGCTGCTGCTGATCGCGCTGCGTGTGGCCCCGCTACGACAGAGACGGCGCCAGCACCTGGACGGGGGCGGCACCCGAGATGAGATCGCGCTGCCGGCAGCTGCGCAGAGGCACCCGTCCGGAGCGAGGAGCTCCCAGCAACCCCGAGCTCCACCCCGGGACCTCCACTCCGACTCTTCCACCTGACTCCCTCCTCCATTCCGTGACCTCCACTTAGTGCCGACATCCCAACTCCTCCACCCCAGACTCCTCCCTCCACTGCAGGACCTCCACCCGGAACCTCCACGCATTCCGACACCTTCACACTCCACCTCGTCCACGTCTCCTCCTCCCCCGGTCCCGCGATGTCGTTGACCGCGCCGCCGCCGTCGCCGCTGGTGGTGGCGGCGGCGGCTTCGGCGTCTTTGGCGGCGTCCCTGCTGCTCGCGCTGCCGCTCCCGTGCGCTGGCGCCGAGTCCGCCCCGCACGGCTGCAGCTCGGCCGAGCCGCCGTGCTCCACCACAAACGCGAGCGACGATCACCACCACGTGCTCACCGCGGGCATCCACGTGGTGAGCGTGGACTTCCACCACGTGCGCGTGCCCTTCGGCATCACCCTGTGGATCCTGCTCGCGTCGCTCGCCAAGATCGGTGAGGATGGGTTGAGGATGAGTGACGATCGGCGAGGATGGGCGCGCGGTGGTGCGTATCGTGGGGGGTGTTACTGTTGGCTGTGCCGCCAGAGCAATGCAACACCATCGCTAGCACTACCATCACACATCGCGGCCATCACCACCACCATTCTGCCCTTCTCAATGTCGAATGGCGCGGTAATGGAGCCGCGTCACTCGCTACAGTGGCGGTGCCTTCATATTTAATAGTTAATGGGGCCCTCTGTGGAGGGGCGAGCAGGGCAAGGCCCCTTCTCCACGGCCAGCCGCGGGCGGGGGGCAGCCCGCCGCCGCCCTCCACTTGTTTTCACGGCGTTAAGCAATACGCCCCGCTATACATTCCACGTACCTATGACGGGGGCCGGTCCGTCCATGCCACAGTCGCGAGCTTCTCAATCGACACGTTAATAACTTTTTTTTTATCGCGTAATGCTCATTTTACCGACCGCAGGTGGATGATGAGGCCGATTGTGGTGGCGATGTTTATGATGGTGATGGGCTGAAACCGACCCTGACCGGGAGTTAAACTTTTGTGCTAAATGTCGGAAGGCTGCTGAGCTCTACGCGGCCGTGAAAGCTGAATAATGCACGCGCGTGTGTGTGAGTGTGGTACTGTCCGATCACATAATGGTGAGCGGTGAGCGCGTTAAGCCACGAAACTGGCGGGCCTAAGTTCGACCACCAAACACCAGTGGCGAATATCAGAGCCGGTCGTGGGCCTCCCCTAGGTCGACTCGGCCTCAAATTAATACGAGACCCGGTGCGATGTGTAAACACCGCCACTAGGAAGGTAAAGGCGGTCGAGCGTGGTGCTGGCCACCCCACCAGCTCGTGTGCCGTGCCGGCGTTCAGAGGCGCTCCGGGCTAACACCGATTGCCCCCACCAGTCCGGACTATGCGGGTCGCGGTGGGCGGATCTTTATCCAGTGCGGAGTCTCACTCGCGAGAGGTCACGATGGGCAAGCCCCACCGACTGTGATTGGGAGTGTCGCCATTCAGAGTCTGGGGATTCAAGAGAATCGATTCTGATTGGCGCTGTTCCACTGCGGTGACTGGCGGCCACTTGCGGCTGCAGGGGTCACGCGAACCCCTCCCAGCTGTCGTCAATTCGCTGCTGGACGAAGGAGTCTCCCGTGGGAGTTTGTTGTGGGAATAGGGGAGGAGGGGGGGTTGGCGTCTGACTGTTTAACCATACTTCACCAGAACTGCTCAGCGTGGTTATGCATTGGAAGTGAATTGCCCACAGGTGCAGGAGGTGAGAGTGTTACGGCACAGGGGGTTGGCGGTGACGCTGCCGTTGCCGGCCGTCACGCTGCGTCTGCTGTGGAGGCGACAGCCTCGTGGGCTGTGCGCTGTCTGTGCGTTGTCCTTCTATGTGCTGTCTGTCTGTGCGCCGTCTGTCTGTGCGCCGTCTGTCTGTGCGCCGTCTGTCTGTGCGCCGTCTGTCTGTGCGCCGTCTGTCTGTGCGCCGTCTGTCTGTACGCCGTCTGTCTGTGCGCCGTCTGTCTGTGCGCCGTCTGTCTGTGCGCTGTCTGTCTGTACGCTGTCTGTCTGTGCGCTGTCTGTCTGTGCGCTGTCCTTCTGTGCGCTGTCTGTCTGTGTGCTGTTTGTCTGTGCGCTGTCTGTGCGCTGTCTGTCTGTGTGCTGTCTGTCTGTGCGCTGTCTCTGCGCTGTCTGTCTGTGTGCTGTCTGTCTGTGTGCTGTCTGTCTGTGCGCTGTCTCTGCGCTGTCTGTCTGTGCTCTGTCTGTCTGTGTGCTGTCTGTCTGTGCGCTGTCTGTCTGTGTGCTGTCTGTCTGTGCGCTGCCTGTCTGTGTGCTGTCTGTCTGTGCGCTGCCTGTCTGTGTGCTGTCTGTGTGCTCTCTGTCTGTGTGCTGTCTGTCTGTGTGCCGTCTGTCTGTGTGCTGTCTGTGTGTGCGCTGTCTGTGCTGTGCTCCTTTCGCCCTGTCGCCTTGGCTCTGCGTCCAGTGAGCGGTCTGCTTGCATGACAACAGCAGCCCCCCGTGATAGACGTAAGCGAAGTGAATTGTGGTTGTGCAGTATTTCGTCAACCTGAATAATTAATATCTGCCTTTTCACGTATGTGCAGTATGTATGCTGAACGTCTTTCACACCGTACGTAATCGACAGCAGCTGCGTTCTATCCGCTGTTGATTGCCGCCCGTGCAGCCGGGGGCGGCCCGTCCGTACAGGTGAACGAGGCGGTGGCCAAGTTCAGTGGGGCCCCAAATTCTAGGAAAATAATACAAACAAAATAAACGAAGATGTCATTATTTCAATCCCCGTGCGTATACAGAGGGAATATGAATCATAATTCATTTCCCAATATTGCTGGGAATGTATTGGTTGGACAGATGAACAAACCAAGTAATTATGCCACTGTTTAAAAAAAATACGCTTATAAAAACATTAAATGGAAAATAGCAGCTAAATGTTTCCCATTTTACCAAAACCTCAGCCTAGACCTTCCCTTGGGCTTTGGGGGTGGGGGCACCGATTTAATGGTTTGCCTAGGGCGTCAGTGGCTGGCAGCTCGTCTAGGGCTGCCCGTGGATGCAGCTATGTTCAGTCCGCTGCTGATAGCAGCCAGTGCAGCCAGTGCAGCCCGTTTTTCCGTGGGGTGCCCGAGGGTCTCTGGTTTTGTCTTTAACTTCCTCCTCGGCAGCGGCAGCTGTTGCCAAAACAGGCGCCCGCGCAAGTTGCATTTCTCGTCAACGTGTAAGCGGTTCCTCTACAACAGCGGTGGATACATTGGGGGGCGCGGGGGCGGCGGCCATGGGGGCAACCCCTTCCACCTTGAAAACCCATTGAGTGTTATCGTTGTTGTTTATGCTATCATGGTGGGGCTATATCTACAAAGCCTCAAATTTGCGGACCGCCAGCCCCGCAGCTCGCGCGGTGCTCGTCCACGGGGCTGTGCGGCTCCCCGCCCTGCTTGGCCCAAGACGTGGCGGTCAGGAGGTGTGAGTACAGCAAAGTCGGTTTGTGGCCCGTCTGTGCAAACCCTGAGGGTGTCATCTCAAAGCATTTGCGGTGAAGGAAGTGGCTCGTATGTGTGTGTGTTGGACTACGCCGTACGTAGTCAACCGCACTCGTCGGATTTGTGCGGGAGGAAGGGCAACAAACTAAATGCAAAAAGCAGTTCTCAAGAAACGAGTTTTAAAAGTAGATTTAAAAGTGCGTAGCTCCCACTGGTTTCCTAATACCAGAAGGAAGAGCCTTCCAGACGGCCACAGCAGCGCATCTGAAAGCGCACAATGTGGTGACTGTCTTTGTTCGATGGCCAGCCAAAAGCCTCTGCTACCAGGGTGACTGGAGTTTGCGTGATGATGGTTTATGCTCCTTGACAAGCTCAGCGAGATATTGTGTGGGGTCAGGGGCGTCAAGCTGCACCACGGAGTTCCTGGTTTGTCGATGCGGGGTTCGGCCGCCCCTCAATTTGAACCTGGTTCACACGCGTAGCGAGGCAATGTTCATTGGCTCCAAGAATGTAAACAAATTAAATGTTTGTTTCGCCGCCACACGACGACAAAGGTCGACTCTCGCGGGCAGGGGCTGTGGGAAATGTGCGGCATCACCCAATGTGGATGAGAGGTCCATTGAAGGGCTCTCAGGAGTAGTTCTGTGATATCTCCTTTCACAGTTTGTTCTCAATCGGACGGTGTGAGGCTTCCGAATGGACGCTGGCGTCCGCTTCGTGACGTGACACCGGTGGAATGAAATTAAAGCAAATTATTTTGTGGGGGAAAACGGAACCCCTTCCTCACAGTGCGTGCGGATTATACACAACACAACTGGCACGCGGGAAACATAATAGAGGAAAATTGTCACTCCAGGTGCTGGTCGCGACTCGTTAAACTTTCCACGTGGTGTCCTGGCAGTGAGTTTAGTTGGGGGTCTCTGGCTTTCTTCCGCAAGTGAAATGATCATCAAGTAATATAATCGGCGGCCAAACTCCCTAATGGCACTGGGCCGTCCCGGCTATCCTGGGTTAAGATGCCACAATTATATTCATGAGCAGAGGGCGAGGCTTGGGACGGTTAAAGCTGCGGTGGACTCAGCTGACCAGAAGTTCGATTCCCCGGCCACGGTTCCCGTCAGTGGCGAATGATCGCTGAGCTGGCCCTGCCGGGATCCCCTCCACATTGCACCAACCCAACATTGAACAGTGTGGTGAAGTATGGCCAAACAACCCCCTTGACCAAAACGCATGGGGAGCCCTTCATCCAGCAGTGGATTGAGAAAGTACTGTAAATGTTATTATTTTATTTACTAAATTATATCGCTCAGATAAATCTTGAGTCATTACATCACTGAGACCAATACATTATTAATTTAACACGTAGAGTTCCGGGACCTATATTATTAATAATAAAGTTGTTTGGGTTAGAATGGGAATATATAAATGCACAGTAAACCCACCTCCACGCGATACAGCCAATCGGTGAGGTTTGTCCATTAGTGTGTGCTGAAGGAGTAGCTAAGTGGCTGTGTCGGGTGGAGGTGGGTTCACGACACATTTACATATACGCAATTTAACCCAAAAAACTTTATCATGAATTTATTATAATTAATAATTATACATTTTCATTCGAATGTACATTGGTAACAGGTGCCAATGGGCCTGGGAAGTGTTCAGGAGCGGAAGTGTAACCGTGCGGGGGTGGCGCTGCACCTGAGCCACCGCGTGCGTAGCCGCCCGTCTCTCGTTGAGCGAGCCTGGCATGCTGTTGGTGAGCGTCACAGGCTCGCCCGCTCGTGGTGGAGCGGTTCACAGCCCTCTCCAGGCAGTCCCACGAATCGTCGCGGTTCAGAGTCGCTCCCTGAGCTACGCCGTGATTGCGTTGTCTTGCAACGCACCGGTGCCGAACGGCAGCGCCTCTTCTTGTGGGCCGCAGGCGTTGACGTGCGGCGTCATCGTGCAGGGCTGTATGGAGCACAAGGTGATCCACCGCTAGCCGCAGTCGAGCTTCCTCGTGGAT